AGTGGTTTAGGAAATATTTGACAATAAGTTGTACCACGAATTTTTGACCCCATTATATCTCTTTGAAAACGTGCGTTCTGATTACTAACAACTGTTGACGACGCGCTGTTTCGAAAAATGTACAGTCAAACCTCGTTACATTGTCACCCTTGGGACGAGCGTGGTGTCGGTAGAATAGCGAGGCTGTCGGTTCAACGGGGTTCCTCCGGCATATAACCTCGACTGCGCAACGTCAAGGGACATGAATCTGCTGCACGATCTGTGTTTGAAAGTGTCTTTTTGCTGGTGATATACATAAATAATATTATTTAAAAGCACGTGCATACGGCACCGAGGGCTTTTTTACCTCTATTTCTATGTCCTTCTCGTGGGAGAAAGATTATCAAGTAGCAAACCAGCGGGTGTTGTGCGCCATGTGCGGTGTGCACCTCTGGCGTTCAGTTCGTAGGCGGTGCGCTTTTCCCTTTCGTCAACCCGTAGCCACCTCCCGAATCGTCAGCCACCTCCCAACCTTTGACACGGGTCAAACTTCCATCTATTTATATGTAGTTAAATCTACCGGAACATGTATTAGGCGAAACGATGTGCAATGATAGTCGCAATAGAGAGATTGTTTTGGTCTCTCTTTACTCATCTGCACCACACGGATTTAACTGATGTTTTTCCCTGGACTCTGCCTTTACTAAAGTCTCGAATCTAGATCTAGTTGCAGGTTGCAGATTTAATAAATTGCTGACAGAGAGAGAGACAGAGAGAGAGACAGAGAGAGACAGAGAGAGAGAGAGAGAGAGAGAGACAGAGAGAGAGAGAGAGAGAGAGAGAGAGAGAGAGAGAGAGAGAGAGAGAGATAGAGAGAGATGGGGGAGGAGTAGATCTTGCGAGAACTACCGGGCAAAACAAAATGGCGACCCGCGTAGTTCGGCTCGATTCGAAAAGTGAAAGAGCCGTAGCATCTTTGTAGACGAACAAATTAGCTTACTTTTGTGCTATAACGTCATTTTTTTCTTTGATTTTGTCAATTTGATCATCTTTTGATAGAAAGTATTTCGAAATTAGGAAAAACAGGTCTTGTTTCACACTGGGTGAGAATAGCCAACGCTGGCAAGTCTTATCCAGGGTGAGAGGTCAATCGTAGGGGTTTTATTCTCACCCCGGGTGAGGATAGCCACTTCCTTACCGGTACTTAAATGATTAGGTGATTAAACTTGATCTCTTATTGACAATATAAAAGTCAATTTAAGCTTCATTTCATTAGAAAAAAATGTGTTAGGTTTGCTAACTTCTTAGACTTTGTGTTAAACAACACTTACAAGTTTGGCCTTTGTAATCTCGAAGGTTTAGAAGTAGAAGTAGAAGAGTCTACTTCTAGAGTCTAGAGTCTAGTCCAATTTATCTAATCTCTTGAATGTAGTGGATAACAGAAATCTGCAACCTGCCACTAGATTACAACTCTAGATCTAGATCTAGATTCGAGATTTTAGTAAAGGCAAAGTCCAGGGAAAAACTTCAAGAAATTCTCGTGGTGATGAGTAAAGAGAGACCAAAACAATCTCAATAAATAATATATCGCGACTATCACGGCACATCACTTCACCTATACATGTTCCGGTAACTACCTATAAATAGATGGAAGTTTGACCCGTGTCAAAGGTTGGTATGTGGCTGACGATTCGGGAAGTGGCTGCGGGTTGACGAAAGGGAAAAGCGCGTAGGCGGTATGGCGGGGCAAATTTACTTTCGCTGAATAAGGACCGTATAACTCAGACAGTTGGTCGATGGCGGTGTGAAGACGTAAATACTATGTTTATATACGGGCTCCTTTTCGTACATTGGCAAAACCTGGCGGTAAGTAGGGCTGGAAGTATAACTGGGAAAGGGGGGGGGGTAGTACAACGATATTTGACAGGAGGCCCACAATGTCTTTATTCACGCAGACTTTTCAAATCTGTTTTCTTTATTTCAATGAAACTTTAAAAGGAAACAAAAACAAGCACACCATGAAATATGCAAATTTGTGTTTCTGGTTTGTGTATGATGGTTATAAATGTACTGCAAAACATGCTTTTGGGATGCAGCTGATCGGAAATATTAATAAAATGTTCCCGTTACGTCCTCAAGGAGTTAATCCCTTTCATTGCCCTGGCCCGAAAGTGTCTCGGCTCTCTGATTTGGCGAGACTTTGGAGCGAATTCCTGCATTACGTTAATCCAAATGTTTATCACAACACCGTCCTTTTTATTAGAGGGCTAAATGTAAACGTTCACTTTTACTTACGTCTGGTTTGTTTGGGTGGGTTTTTAAACTTATTTGTTTTATTTTTTGCTTCGCTTTTGGGGAAAAGTATGTGAGATTGGGGGGGGGGGGGTTGAAGACCATATTCGATATAAACCCTTTACACTCTATACAGTATGTCCCAGAAAGGGGAGTTAAAAAAAATAAAAAAGAAAAAACAAAAAAGGGGGGGAGGGGTAGAGGAGATAGGAGAGAGGAGAGAAAAGAG